CTTTGGTAGCACATCGCGTCTTCCGGAACGTCACTCGAGGGGCTGATTGTTCCATCGAGAACGCGTTTTCGCTATCAGACTGTATGTATTCGCGGTTTACGAGGCGAGGTTAACGATTATCGCATTAGTACGGGTGGTGAGAGGTTGCTTTTAACGACGTTTATTTTCAGATTGAAAATCGCGTGTACGCGACCCAATCATTTTCTATAGTGTACGAAAGAATACGGTTTTAATTGAGGAGGTTGTTTGTGAGTTGGAATACTGGAATCTTCCAGTATTGAGAATCATTCAATGACGTTTATATCGAGATCACCGATTGTAAAATATTTATTCTTCGTATATGGTTCATAATTTCAACTTTTCTACGTGTAAATCTTGGAGAATGTTTACTTTTTCTGTTATATTTATTACTCTTACAGTTTAAATTACTTTGCGTTACCCGGTTTCAAATCCCGCTTATTCTTCGTTAATTAATACGCAATGCTTGCTTACATAATAATACGCTAAACTTACATTATCTCGAAGTGTTCAGGTTTCACGATAGCCCATATTTTCCGCAGGCTCCCAGAGAGTAACTATGCAAAATTTGGCCCAGATAGGTGAAAGGGTTTAGAAGATAATAGAGAACATCCGAACATTCTATTATGCACGTTACGCAGGTAGAAAGATTTCTAACAGTAAATTACTCCAACTAAGAAAAATATTTGTAAAAGAAATTACATTAGAAAATAAGAAAAGAAATATCTCGAAAACAAATCATATTCTACCCAAACTAAAACGTGTCCAAAAAGAACGACAAATTTTTCTATACCCAGCAACCCTGAACAATCGTTTCCTGATTCTATTCTAATCTACTTGCGTGCAGATTTCGCTAGACAGGCTTTCCGAGCAACAATGAAATTCACACGTTCCTCCGGAACGTTCTTCCAAATAACCAACCCTCATCGGCATACTAGACGTTCCCAGCATAAGTCACGCGATAACAGGCAGTTCTACGGCAAAATTAAAACACCTGCAACCTTGAAACAAACTTCACCGAGCCAAGGTCTATTCCCTTTTTCCCACAACGGACAATTTCGCTACGTCGTCCAAGAAACTTCATTCCCTCCCTTTATTTTCCCAGTGAACGTTGGTCCAACGAGACACACGTTCGAGTGACAGAAAGTATCTCGAATAGAACGCAAAAGTTCCGCTTTAATTCGACGATGGTGACCGGTCTACGCTACATAACATAGCCCTTCATTCAGGATCGACTCGGCTGAATTATGAATGGCGGTCGATAGCTAGACGGAGGACGCGTGTACTTGCTGGCTATGCGAGTTTCACCTGGCCTACGTGGCCTCTTGCTAGAAAAAAAAAAAAGAAACGACTATCCAGGCTAGAATTGCGATCGTTCTCTCAGCCAGAGAGTTATCCGAACGATCTATCCTCCGGGACTCGATTCTCGCGCGCGGTACTTGAAATAAACCGATTTCATTCGTGGAAATCGAGATCGAACGTACATTTGCACGCGAGAATATGATCATGAGTGAAATTTCCACGACGTAAGTACGATGTCGGGGGAGAGCTGTACGCCGTGCGTCAGCCTCCGATGGCCACATAACTGGAAAATGGCTGTAACGTTGAAAAGGTTTTTTAGTGGTCGCCGTTACCCGGTGTCTTCGAATGGACGTCGTGAAAGGTGGTATTTTTAGAGCATTGTGCGTGTTGAACTATCGAAGAACGGTGTACGGTGTTTCGTGTAGCGTGTTTCTTCTTCTGCTTCTTGCCGGAGAAATCTTCCCGGTGGGTTTATCGTGGATTATTGGAATATGGATGAGGGTTTATCGGAGATCGGAGGGAATTTTTGTCCTCGTTGATTGTACTTATCGGCAATTCGTTTTATTTCGAGGAGTGTATTCGATGGACGAGTGAATACAAGTCAATTGAATACTTTCTAATATATTCAATTATCAAACTTGATATCTGATTCTAATTTTTCATTGGGTCTAGTTTTTTCTGGAAGTGGTGTAACAGTCGGTGTATTTTAAGAGCCGCAAATGATGCACAGCTTTGCGCTGTGAACCAAATGCACGTTTAATTATTACACCCGATTTTTGCAAGTCTACCTTTTGCCAACAGTGTTACAACATGGTCTGTGTAGCTTAAAAGCTGAATATGACACTATTAACAATGCCTTCAAATAACTCGTCGAATGTTCATCTCTTCTTGCCTATTTCCTGCTTAACTATCCAATCTTACACTTCACCAAATCTACATTTAATTATTGCACCTGATTTTTGCAAATCTATTGTTTACCAACAGTGTTACAACATGGTCGGTGTAGTTTAAGAGCTGAATATGACACTATTAACAATGTCTTCAAATAGCTCATCGAATAGTGATCAACTCTTGCATATTACCTGCTTACCTTTCCAATCTTACACTTAACCAAACCTACATTTAATTATCACACCTGATTTTTGCAAATCTATTGTTTACCAACAGTGTTACAACATGGTCGGTGTAGTTTAAGAGCTGAATATGACACTATTAACAATGTCTTCAAATAGCTCATCGAATAGACATCAACTCTTGCATATTACCTGCTTACCTTTCCAATCTTACATTTAACCAAACCTACATTTAATTATCACACCTTATTTTTGCAAATCTATCTTTTACTAACAGTGTTACAACAGTGTGTGTACCTTTAGAGATGAATATGACACTATTAACAATGTCTTCAAATAGCTCATCGAATAGTGATCAACTCTTGCATATTACCTGCTTACCTTTCTAATCTTACACTTAACCAAACCTACATTTAATTATCCCACCTGATTTTTGCAAATTTATCTTTTACTAACAGTGTTACAACAGTGTGTGTACCTTCAGAGATGAATATGACACTATTAACAATGCGTTCAAATAACTCCCTTTCCAACTTTACACTTACCCAAATCACCCTAATAACCACAGTATACAAAAAAAGCCACATTTCTCCCAATTATCGAAAACTAACACCCTCACATCTCCAGATCCAATAAAATCAAAATAAACACCCTTTCCCTCATATCTCCAGATCTCACAAAATCACCCAGCTTCATCGTCTTCGTCGTCGTTCGTTCTCTCTAGCCATCTCGATCCTCATTGCCAGAGCAGCTCTCCTCTCGTCGATCACCGTCCCTGATGAATAAAATCGCAGACGTCAGCAATTTCTACCGTTTGCTTGCAGCAACATAGCTGTATCGATCCGCCATCAAGATCGTCGAAGTGACGAGCTCGTTAGAGAGGGTACGTTCGCGTAGACGAATCTCAGCCGAGGAGAAAAGAAGAAGTTTGGCGGTTACCGGCGGTGTGGAGGAGGATTGACAGCCTCCGGCGGGCCGGATCTCGAGGAGAAGACGGAAGAAGGAGGAGGAGATCCAGGAGGTGTGTGGACCAGGTGCGAGCTAACTTGGAGGGCCTGGCACCTGGCTGTTTAGACGCTG